TATCCTCTGCGCTGCAGAAGGAGATGTCAAGAGGAGATGTGACCTGCCTGGGGTTGGAGCAAACACACGTGACACAAGCAGCGAGGGACCCCAGATCTCATTTCTGTGCTCTGATGGTCCAGCAGACTCTCTGCAGTAGTATTTGGCTGCAGTGCTAGCTCAGGGACATGGTGTTTCTGGTGTATGCATCTGAAAACAAGCTTAGCTTGGTATAAGCACTGTATTGCGATAGATTAGTTTGGACAACTGGGATTTTCCCTAGGCCAAGGCAGCACTTGGCAACCTTTCTAGTTATTGCTTGTTTTTCTTCTCTTGTTCCATCTGGTGCCCATCTGTGTCTTTCCTTCCTTCAAAAGCATCTTCATGTTTCTGTTGAGTCACATACAGGGTGCTGCACTTTTCAAGCTTCCTGCATGCCGTTGTACAGCTTGCAGGCCAGCCTGAGGACAGACTCTGCATGGAGAGGGAAGGTTTCTGCTCAGGATCTCAGATCAATGTGTCAGCCAGCACACAGCTGAGCAGAGCAGCTGTCTCCTTTTGGGAAAGGAGATGGAGAGCCAAACCAGAAGCAGTTGAGTCTGTCCTGTCTGTGGGTGAGCACAGCATCCTCAAGCCCCTCTGTGAAGCAGGCTTGGCTGCTTGCCTTTGCAATTGCAAGGCATCTACAAGCAGGACAGCCAGAAGAGCAGAGTAGACTTGACAGCCAAATATACGCGCTGGGGGTAGACATGCAGCAACATCAGATATGATCCAGTGGCTCTTCCAAAGGTTGGCTTTAAGATATGCCTGATAGGACATCAAATGAGCCTCCGGGATGGTCACCTGGACATCAGCCTTCCTTCAACCAAAGATTATTTATACAACCACAGGAAAAGCAGACTAGACCATGCTATCTAGGACCCTTCCTTGACACTGGGAGGATACTTCCCCTCACACGGACATCTGGAAATGGGGTGTTTGCAGACTGACTGGAGAGACAAGAATTGAGTTCTGAGACCTTGTAGTCCAAAGCTCACATGAAAGGGATGAACTAACATCTGATAAGAAGAAATGATTTGCCTAAACTCAGGTAATTTGGTGACTAAAATTACTTAAAATCCTAGCCAAAAAAAAAACAATCTGGCTTTAGGAGGCATCAAATGCAAATTCCTTTGTTAGAGGTGCCAGCATCACTATAAGGAAGCTATCCTATTTGCGTGGTAATTTAGATGGACAGTAATGCAGCTTTTCATACTCCACGGCACTCCTCCCCCTGGTATTCTGTACACTTCAGACTGAAAAACCGTATGGTTTGGTGCAAAGACTAGAACAAGGAATGATTCGCTTTCTTGCAAGTAACCTGCAGTTTGGAGATTACCCAGCAGTTCTGCAGATTTTAGGGCTTTCTAATGCTGCAACAAAGAGCCAGGGACTGTGCTGTTTGCTTTTGTCTTCTCTGGTCCATGACAGCAGATATACTGCTGGTGTAAAGAGAGCAGTGACAGAACAACCATGTATCTATACTCCTTCCTGGGAAGCCCCCACAACCTCCAGTGAGGGCACAAGGAAAATCTTCTGGCCAAAACACAAAGGTCTGAACACAAGACCAGACAGGGAGAGCCAAGCCAATTTGCTGTTAACACACACTGCTGGGCTGTCCATCAGATTTTGTAATGAGCCAACAGACATGCCCTATGGTCATAACCTGATTAAAGAGCTGCAGTTCAGAAGGGTTAGTGGTCGGTTTTCTATGATAGCCACACGTGCATTGCCTTAATCCATTCAGCCTTCCTGATAATGACCCTACACAGGTAACTACTTTTCCCCACCCTTTCTACTTTATATATAACAAAATATATGAACACAAAGCACAGAGAGGAGAAGCCAAAAAATTGCCATTTTATGGTCCTGTACTGTCATGCCAAATCAACTATTTGTGCAACCAGCTCCTTCTGTGAGCAGGGAAAACACTTGGCTTGTGCTTCTGTCTATATTTGGAGGAATAACTGGCCTAGTTCACGTTTAAATTCATCTTCCCCCCTCACATGTGAAAATGAGTAGTGTCCACCCAGGGACTGATGATACAAAGCTGGGAGGAGTGTCTGACATGCCAGAAGGCTGTGCTGCCATTCAGAAAGACCTGGACAGGCTGGAGAGATGGGCAGGAAGAAACCAAATGAGGTTTAACAAGAGCAAGTGTAGAGTCCTGCACCTGGGAAGGAACAATCGCATCTATCAGTACAGGCTGGGGGACAACCTGCTGGAGAGGAGCTCTGAGGAGAAGGACCTGGGGGTCCTGGTGGATGACAGGTTGACCATGAGCCAGCAGTGTGCCCTGGTGGCCAAGAAGGCCAATGGGATCCTGGCGTGCATTAAAAGGAGTGTGGCCAGCAGGTCAAGGGAGGTGATCCTCCCCCTCTACTCTGCCCTGGTCAGGCCTCACCTGGGGTACTGTGTCCAGTTCTGGGCTCCCCGGTACAAAAAAGACAGGGATCTCCTGGAAAGAGTCCAGCGGAGGGCCACAAAGATGATACGGGGCCTGGAGCATTTTCCCTATGAGGAAAGGCTGAGAGACCTGGGTCTGTTCAGCCTGGAGAAAAGAAGACTGAGAGGGGATCTCATCAATGTGTACAAATACCTGAGGTGTGGGAGACAGAGGGATTTGGCCAACCTCTTCTCAGTGGTTTGTGGGGACAGGACAAGGAGTAATGGTCACAAGATAGAGCCCAGGAAGTTCCGCACCAACATGCAAAAGAATTTTTTCATGGTGAGGGTGACAGAGCACTGGAACAGGCTGCCAAGGGAGGTTGTGGCATCTCCTTCTCTGGAGATATTTAAGGCCCGTCTGGACGCCTACCTGGGCAGCCTGCTCTAAGGAACCTGCTTTGGCAGGGGTTTGGACCTGATGATCTTTCGAGGTCCCTTCCAACCCCTACAATTCTGTGATTCTGTGACTTTAAGGGGTTATGGTGGAAGCAGGTGTACATCACACAATGCAAAGGGTGGAGGGCGGTTGCAGGGTTGTGGGGTTGGGGAATGCCTCAGAGCACATGGCAGGCAAAAAACAGAAATTGGGGCAATAAAAGGACTTAGCAGTGGTGCCATGGGGCAGTGGTTACAGGGAAGGTCTATCCTTCAGAGGGGAAGTTAAAGTTCTGGGAGACACAATCTCAGACATCTACTTCCATCTTTGTCCTAAGACAAAGGTGGTTTGATGGAGAACTGTGCGATGTGCAGTCTGCCAAGGTTAACCAACAGAAACAGACACCTCATTGCTTGAGCAGGCTCACCAAAATACCCCAAGCTCCTGAGCAAAGGCTGTGGGAAAGGCTGCGTGTGTGCAGCCTGCCTGAAAGGCACAGACACTGACCCAGGAGGATAAGTGCAATGGAGATGTTGCATGGTACCAATGCTGAACTGCAAACTCCTGCTTTAAAAGTGTGAATGTTTAAAGAGACTTGGCCATGTCCTACAGGATTTAGTTTGACCATGTGGTTTCTGTTTTCTGTTTTGACTACATTCCCCATCTGAAAAAAAGACTCCTGAGCTTTTCCTCCCTTTTAACTTCTCTTCCCACACAGTTCTGTTAGAGCTCTTCTCCCCACTGCAGACAACTTGCTAATCTCACACCTGAGCTAGCACTAGAGAGGAAGGCTGGCACACGAAAGAAGAAGCAAGGAATTGAAGCTTTGTGCTTCTTTAGAAACATTTTTGAAATATTCCCCCTTGGCACTGCCACATTATGAGAAAGTGAGAGGAATTCAATAGAGGAACGCTCTCTCCCTAGAGGAGTTGGCAAGTTAACCAGCACTTCTGCACAAGGAGGCAGAGATGCTCAGTAAACAAGTCTTCTCCATCCTCTTTCTGTTCCCTGGCAGATAGGGCAACAGTCCGTTTCGGGGGAGGGAGCAAACACAGTTTTCATGGTTGCCTGCAGGTAGCTGCTGAATAATAAAGCCCAGGAACCTTGTATGCCCGCTCTTTTGCTCATGCTGCGGATGACATCATGCCTTGCACTGCACAGAATGAAAACGTGTGATGTTAAATAAGTGTCCTCCTCATCACTAAGAGAACTTAAAGAGTCAGCTCATGATGTGCAAATTTCATACAGGGTATCTGTAATTCAGTGTGGAGATCAGGCTCTTTCTCATGGCTCAGGGGAATTCTGATGGGAAACTTAGAATTGCCTTCGCTTTTTCCCTCCACCAGGCTCTAAAGAGAGCGCTGACATAAGGCAGGCAGTCTTTCTTCCTGTCTGAGCAGGAAAAGACACAGTTGTGGCTGTGTCAAAAGATTTCACCTCAGAGAAAGATGCCAGCCCATCCATCACCTGAATCCCATGTCTTCTGAAGCCAGCAGTGTAAGACTGAACAAGGAGAGGACATATTTCCTAAATCCAGAAATGATTTTGCATTTAAAACAATCTGTTGGTGAACTGGCAATTCAGCCCAGAAATCTAATGTAATGCCAGGTTTCCTGACTATTCCAGCATCAAATAAACATAATTGTTCCTGATGTGGGACTGCTCTAACAGACAAAGCTTGGTTCACAAGGGGGCAGAGATGCAATACACAGTAGTTCCCTCTCATGGCTTTTTTTCAGCTGAATCTGCTCATAATCCCTCTGTTGCTGAAAACTCCCCTAAAGTCTGACACCACCACGTTAACTAATGTCTCCCATAGGCACCAAGAGATGCACTGTCAAGAGTACCAACAGCTGAGCTCCAAAAAATATGCTTTCTTCAACTAGCTTTTTCAGCACTGACCTTCAGACTGTACAGCTCAAGTCCTGTCTTATGCAGGACTCATTTTTTCTTAGTTGAACAGAGTTCAAGATTTTTGGAAGCAGATGGCTCTCACAGGAATTAAGTAGAAGCTGAAGTCAGTGTATTCAACTGAACTGAACTCATGATTATGGTATTCTCAGGCAAGGACTGAATCTACTGAAAGTATGGATGGACTGCAAATCAAATCTGATGTGTTTGGTGGTAATTTAATGTGGTGCTAAGGGTAGATTGCATTGGGTATGTGACACAGCAGCTCCAGCTACTACTGACTCACAGAGAAATGCCACCATCTTGCTCTCTTTGCAAGTGAATGAATTGTGTCATGTTGATCCTGCCTAGACTTGCCATAAGAAAGGATGCCCTGCTCTGTTGCCATTCCTGTGCCCTGATCATGGTGTAATTTTGGTTACACAGGCAAATGAGGCTTAGTGAACTATTATGAACTGACCTCAGGTAAACTCCCCCCGACACCTCAGACACCCCTGATCTTGCAAATGGATTGTTTTTAGAGGGTAAGATTAACTGCAGCCCCATCTGATCCTTCCCATTCTGGAACTGACACCTTACAAAACATCTCTGGTGCCTACACAAACCCAGAAGTATCTCTGAGCCATTCTGCATCCACTCTCCGGACCAGTCAGTTCTGCCAGGCACTGCCTAGCACTTTGAGTTTAACTCTTTTCTTTAATCATAGTTTAAAATAACTTATCAACCAATCATAAAATGAATTTTTTGGTTTCTCCTGGCTCCATGAACACAAAGAGGTGCACATCCTACCATAGGAGGAAGCAATGGTGGTTAAGTTTTATAGTTATAGTGGAAAGCACTGATCACAGCCTGCCGGCCTCACTACTGGATGTGACAGGCGGTGGAGGAGGTGGCTTGGCAGCACATGCAGGTAGGGTTGACCGATTTAGGGGGGATTAGGTCGAGGTCCTCGTCATCTGGGATCTCATCTAACCGGTACCCATCCTTTAGCAGCTGGATGTTCAAGTCTTGGTTGATCTGCTACAGACAAAGAGACAAACAGTCAAACACTTGAGACTTCTTGCTTCTGACAGGTCAGAAGAGGAAGGAGGTCCCTTATTCTGGAATATATATCCCACATACGATATGGGAAATATTTATGATATTTAAAATGGGAAATAATGATAATAAACCAACTGGGAGCTGTGTAGTCCCTCCACTCAATCTGGGGCACTACAGCAGTTTAAAGGTGGTGGTAAAGCCACTTGGTTCTTTGTAATCTCAGATTGCTGCCTAGCTAGCTCTGGGTGAAAACCCCTTCAAGTCAGGGCCCACAGATGGCCCAGATCATTTGACCTGGTCCCTGCTCTTGGCTGTTTCTCCACACTTCAGAGGGATTTTGCCCCAGGAAGAGATACAAGGGGGAACAGTTTCCAGCAGCTTGCGTGCAGAATGGCTGCTCAGCACCCTGACTGTAAATCAGATCCTACAGAAGCAGCACCCAGAGGCTGAGCAACTAATTCACTGGAGATCTTGGGAATACATTCAGAAACAATGCAAGGGATTAGCAAACATGAACTTCCTGCCATTTCTCTTTGAGAGGTCAAGAGTTCATATCTGTAAGTCCTCTTTGGAATTTCTGCTTGCTCCAAGTAAACACCTTCCAGGTGACCCTGACCCCTGCTAAAACTGGAAATGACAGCACACCCTCAGCTCCTTTATTTGTGTCTTGGCAAGCGGACGGTTGTTGAGCTGCCACGACAGACAAGTTGATGCTTTTGCACCACATGGGCACTGCAGGACTGAGCAGAACTGGGAAAAGCTTCAGTGGAGCTGACGGGCAAATCTCTGTCTGTGCTGTGGCAGTGTGGGGACAGAGCCAACTAGATCACTGGGGAAGAAAGAAACATGACACAGTTTCTGCCACGGCCCCTTACAGACTCACAGAGTTTACACAACTGGTAAATTCCTTGTGTAGCCGTTTCTGGCTGCAAAAGGCCACTCTAAGGCATCTCTGGATGCTCTGCTACCAGCATTCATGGCTGGGAAGAGAGAGTGTAACTCACCTCAGCTGATGAGTATCCCGAGGAGGAATATCTGGACATATCGAAGTCATCATCACTGCAGGGAAGGACAAGACAGCAAAGAAGGAAACAGTTAAAGAGACCTGAATTCCCTGCTTAGTCCTATCCTTCTTGTGCTGTGAAGCTGTCCTTTAGGCACAGAGAATTTACATCAAGGCAGCCTAGAGAACAACTTTCATCTGTGAACCTCAGACATTTCCATGAAAGTGCTCTTTACTCTTGTCTCTTCCTGCTTGTTTACATGCACAGACCAATTACGGCATATGCCAAAGGGCACAGCAAGGAAGGCTGCAAGTGGTCTGCAAGAATGGTTTCAGCAGGAGTTAGTTCCAGTGCTGTGCTTTGTCATGAAAAACTTGCTTGCACCTTAACATATATCATCTTATTATCACTTTGCATACCTGTCCGTATCCAGGGCTACCAGTGGCTTTTCATCTGGATTCTGATCTAATGATGAATAGCCCTTATTGGGAACGACGAGCCTGAAATAATTAAATGTTCTCCATTAACCACACAGTAAAGCTCAGTACCACACATAGTCGTATCAAAGTCACATGATAGTTAGGCTTTCCCCATTTCACTTCTTTGCAAGTCCTCCCTTACTAGTGAAGACATTTAAATAGGTGCAATTCAGAGGAGGCAGGCTGTGTCTCTGGGTAGCTCAGAGCAGATTTACAGGGACAGATGCTGGACATGCCTTGGGAACACACTCCTCCCTGAAAGACAAAATGATTGGGACACTCTGGGCTTCATTCTGATGAAACTGTTCAGTTTGCAGTGCTTGCCTTATCAGACTTCTGTGTTGTTTTTTTTCCTAGCAATGAGTACATGGCACTTGCAATAAGTAATCAGGAGAAGGTATTCTAGCTAAGGGAAGGTAGGATTATAGGATTGGAAATCAGGGATTTGGTCTTTCTGCCTGTGTCCCTACCCAGCCCCCATAACACAGAACTTGTGAAGTCTCACCCCTAACTTCAGTAAGAGCTGGTGGGTGTAGCATAAGAGCCCTGTCTGACTCGCACTTTTAAAATCCTATTATTCTATAAAGACTTTCAGTTCATCAGAAGTGTTACAATGGCTGATGATGATTTTGCACCTTTAATTGCCTGAGGGAGTCTGTGGAATGGGATATAGACTTCAGAGCCTCTAGGATAAGGAAAACATTCAATGGTATCCAGCTCACAACAGTTATTTCATCCACAAAATTGCACAAAGACTTGGGTTCATATTTAAAATAAGATCAACCAGACAGAGCAAATGGAGCAAGGTACTATGTTCAGCAGGTGGGAACTGCAAGATTATCATGGAAATCTTCTTATTCAGTGGGTTAAATCAGATTCTCTCCCAAATAAATGATTGGTCTTTAACAATACAATGATGCAGCAGGGCTTCACTAAGAGTTTGGGAAGATCTACAAATGATAATCCATCTCATCCATGCTCTAATTGCTCTTTAACCAGCTGCAATGCTCTTCTGTTCAAAAAAATTCAGAAAGTCATTACGATTTTAGTAATGTAAAGGCACTGAAGATGGGCAAGGCTCAGGGAAAGCAAAATACATCAAATGTTCTAACGAAGCAGATGTATAGGCTCATAACTAGTTGCATTTTCTTACTGCATTCATTGAAATGCAAGGCTAAAGAAATTAATTGATGCAGAATTTCCAGGCTGCTGCATCAGGGTACTGCAGAAAATGGGATCCAGTTGCAAAATGCAAAACCCCTTCCCATATCCTCCAGAGGTTCCTTCTGCTCCCTACAAAGCATGTAGGAAGGAAGTCAAGAAGCAAAGATGTCTGGAACTAAAACAGAAGCTGTGATCTGGCAGCAGCAGCTTGCCTATCCAGATACCAGAAACACTCACTTCCATGCCTGCTCTCCATTTTTCAAGTCACTGCTCCACATACACTCACTGACAATTGTTTCTACATTGTGAGTGAACAAAGCACTATCAGGGGATCAAGGAGAACAGTCCTTTGTGGTGCTATTTACTTGATTAAAACAAATCACTACATCTTTTTGTTGAGAAATGTTTTGTGTTTTTTTTTCTTAGCAATGGAACTTCATTTTTTCTGCCACAGACTAAAACTGTGATAATGTTTTTGTCCCTGATTTAAGCTTTTTCTCACATCCTGATTGCCTTTTTTTTCTTGTTTCCCAGTGTCCTTGGAACAAAGCTGGGTTTAAGTTGTACCTGCTTTCATCTGCAGGTATGAGCTTTTTGTCTTGGTGGTTTTGGTTGCTTAACATGGAATACTTTACAACATCTGTGTTTAGTTTATCTTTAGAGTGGACTACAATATCTGGATGCATAGAAGTAGTGCAGATGGTGTTGTGGGCTCTGCCTGTGTTTCCAGTGGGGATTGGCAACATCACATCAACTTTGTTCACATTGTATTTGCTCTTAGGGAGGCTGAGCATGTTATGGATCCAGATTCTTTCACCTCTAAGGCTGGCTGCGCCCCTGCCTCAGAAGAAGACTCAATGGTGAAGGGAACCTGATATCAGAGGCTGGATTTCAGAAATACTGAAGAACAACGGCCTTGGGGAAGGAGGAGGAAGTGGGGCAGGGACAAAGAGAAGAAATACACTTTGAATGAAAGAAGGAAAACATATTTGATGAGGAGAAGAGCAAAAAAGGGGAAATGGCTTTAGCTTCTTCTATAGAGCCTGGAAGAAGCCAACAGTTCAGACATAAAGAGCAACTAGAACCTGGATGTTTTGCAGTGTATCCCACTGGAGTCTCTCATTGTACTGCAGCCTTGTGAACAAGATTGTGACATTTCTGCCTTCCTGGGGTTGCCCTGTCTATGGCAGGACAGAGCAAACCATTCTGAGGTACCGTGAGGGCTGTGCCCAGACTGCTGCTTGGTTCCCAGAAAGCCAAGGGAGCTGGGGGGTGAGGAATCACGGGACAGCAAGAGCCTGTGCCAGGCATCTCCCAGCTCTCCATATGGGAGCAATGGAGCTTGGCTACATCTGCTACTAAAGCAGTTGCTGCAAACCTGTGTTTTCCAGATCCCAAAGGAAGCTTCTAAAAGCTGTGTGAAAAGTAACTAAGAGATGTGAGTCTATTGCCAGCAGGCTTAGCTTGTCTGTGCAGGGTTCTCCACATCCCTGAACACTGCTCAGATGTCCATGGATGGAATAAAACTGAGCTGGCTGTTCTAAAGCTTTTGTCAATGGTTGTCAGTGCTCTACCCTTCCCAAACCAAATCACTCTTCCTTCCACTGGCACCTCTGAAACAGCAGCCCCTCCAGGCAGACATAACTAATTTTACAGGTGGGCATCAGCACTTATCCTCTCTCCCTTACTATCTTCCCCACTAATTTCAGTGTTTCTAAATCTCTAAAGCAGCAAATCTGCTACTATTCCTCTTGGGAAGCTATTGTGCAGCCTAATGCCAAAAGAATCCAAGTCTTCCCAGCTTGCATTTGGGATACAAAGAGGAGCAGTGGGAACAGAAAATCCAGCTGGGCATTTGCAGAATTTCTTACTGCCAATAAGGGCCTGGCACCTTTACATGGTCTCAACAACCAAATTTGGAGCAGTGAGCAGTGTAGCATATTTCGTCAACATCACAGGTGCTTACAAATAAAACTTGACAAAGTCCTGGCATGATTTATGACTGCTGTTGTGGGTTTTGGGAACTAATTTGAAACAAAGAACCTCATCTGTTGGATGTGTTGCACAGAGAGAGGCTCTCACCTACAGCTCCTGTTCTACTTAATATATGGTAATCCATGCAAGTTTCTCATTCATCAACAAAAACACGGCTTTAATGCAGACTCTGCTGTCATTTTAAATAAGATCCTCCAATAAAAAATGCCACCTTTCTCATAGCATGCAGAGTGCAATCCTGTTGACTCAGTGGGTTCCTGCCCCTGAATTTAGGCACACAATACACAATTGTACTGATGCCTGCATGGAAAAAACAAACAAACAAACAAACAAAAACAAAACAAAACAAACAAACAAACAAAAAAACAGAAATACTCTGAAAAAAAGTATTCAGGTAAGAACGTCTTTGTTTACAGAGGTTTGTAGCACTGTCCAATACTGTCATACAGAGATGAGCCAAAGCAGCCCCAGCAAAGTATGACCATGCTGTTTGCAGTGTGGAGGAGGTATATAGCAAAGCATGCAGAGATGAATTAGACACCAGCCTTCATTAAGTTAATCAGTATGGGGAAGAGGGCATTTTCAAAAAGAAGCAGGGGAACTACTGGGATAAAAGCAGCCAAGTCAGAACTAAGCTCTAAAACAGTTTGCTGTTACATGAAGCAGCACTGTATGCTCTCCCGCTGGTAGGATTACAACATTAAATGAGGATGCCCAGAGCATTCGAGACAAACATATAAAACCTCTAATTTTCACAGAATGATCGAATCACAGGAAGGTTTGGGTTGGAAGGGACCTTAAAGATCACCCAGTCCCACCCCCCCTGTCATGGGCAGGACACCTCCCCCCAGCCCAGGTTGCCCAAAGCCCCATCCAGCCTGGCCTTGAGCACTGCCAGGGATGGGGCATCCACAGCTTCTCTAGGCAGCCTGTGTCAGTGCCTCACCATCCTTATAGTAAAGAATTTTCTCCTAACATCTCATCTAAATTCTCTTCATTTAGTTTAAAACTGTTCCCCCTTGTCCTATCACTACCTGCCCAGGTAAAAGCTGTTCTCCAGGCTCCCTCTGCCTCCTGCAGGCTGTATTGTCACTCGTCCTGGGCCCAGCTGTCCCCATGTTCCCCCATGGGACAGGATGCAACACAGCAGAGTGTTTGGGAAGGGCCATCACTGCTCTTACTGTGTATTTGTAGGGGAATGGCAATGAATGTTGTTCTTGCCATCTTAAGGCCATTAGGGATTTCAGCTTAGAGCACAGCTGAGTTTTCCAGTCCTTTACCTTGTCCGTGCCATCACGTTGTTCTTCTTGGGCTGCTGATTAACTGGGCTGCCCATGTTGCCGTTCTTCAGGGAGCCCTTCCGAGCCAGCTCCCTCTGCTTCTCTGCATATGGGATACAAAGGGGGAAAAGCAAAATTAGGGCACCAGCCTGGCAGGTCACCATACAGATATAGAAACCCAGATTTGATTGCAGCAAAAGGGATTGCAGAATTAATAGCACAGGACATGAGCACTCCATCTCCCAAGCAGACACAGCAAAGGCCGGAAGAGCTGTGTCCCATTGCCTCCAAGGTCCCTAGGGGCTAAAGTTCATATGCCCTGCCTTGCAGCAGCCTGCTGACCAGGCCACACAACGATGGCCATGGAGCTTCTGGATGCAGGCCGAGACTGTCCTGCTGGGGCTGAAGAAGGGCAGAACCCCTGCCTCTGTGCAGCTATGGGCTCTGAGACTGCACTGTATGCTGGGCAAGGGAATTTCTCCTTTTACATTTTCTCCTATTCAGGCTGCCACTGAGGGGCCCAGCTGGGACAGAAAAGAGCTTCCATCAATGTAGCACCATCATTTAGTGTTAGTTGATATTGTATAAACTCACTTGACCCTCAGTTAGGCTGAAACTTGAGATAACTTGAGCCAACTCGGCATTCCTGCAGCTTGGAAAACAACTGATTCAGCCAACTTGGCATTCTTTAGCAAAAGGTGAAAAGTACATCATGAGGAAGACCTATGGTCTTCCTCCCAAAGACCACTGCCCACGTCCTGAAGACCCCGACCCACAATTCTTGGGAGGCTTTGCGCAAGCGCAAGGACTGATAAGCTAATTAACATACAAAGCGAGAGTAGGTGGGTTTAGGTATTGAATATGTATAGGTGTTAATAGAATATTCATTGTTTTGCTGTATAAATATGAGCTAGTTTGTTACTTCGAATATGCACGTTAGGCAGAAGGATCCCCCGTGCATCCAGCGCTGACAATAAAGGATACTTCGTCACTTAGAAATTTCGGCTTCGATCTTTGAATCAATCTGGCCACCCAGATGGGACACCCTCTCTGCCGGGCTGCAGGACCCGCTGGGAATAGGACTCCCTAGGGTACCCCCGGAATGTCCTGGAGGGACTCCTTGACTCAACGGATCACTGCAGAGGCAGACAAGGACCCCATCGCTGTAAGTGACAGTATTCTTTATTTTGGTTTTGGTTTGTTTGTTTGGTAGACTGGTCATTTGAAACGGCCCATAAGTCGGAAAATAAAAGTTCTGCAGGGTGGTGTATACTTTTGTGGCTAGCACCTTAAGTATACGTTTGATTTTGTTGGCATTTAATTGCCGTTTGGAACCTGGCAAGTTTGCTAATAAGGTTCATTTGTTAGTGTTACTTATTTCGGTTTTCTGACTTATCGCATGTGGAATTTGACTCTGATTATTGCTATTGTGATTTTGGCTATATTCTTGGTAATAATAGTAGGTTCTTGACGTTGCTATAGAAAGATACCTGCGTGCTGCATTTTGTAAGTGATAAGTGTATTCTGAAAGTGTGAACTGGGAAAATGGAAGGCAAACTGGTGGGATTTTAAAGAAAAGCCCTTTAGGATGTGTTTTGAGTTATTGGAAGGATATTGGAGGATCTGCCAGTGGAAGTGTGAACAGGAAAACATTGATAAAATATTGTAATCAATGGTGGCTGCTTTATAAGCCGGAATGTGGAGAAAAGTGGCCTTTTAATGGAATTTTAAACTATAATACTTTGCTACAGTCAAAGTTGTTTTTGAGAAGGAGAACAGGATGAAATGTTGTATACTGATGTTGTTTCAGCATCTTGGTGGGAAAAGGTACGGAATTAAGTTGGCCCCTGACTGAGCCTTTGATGTTGGCATTAGAAAAGTACAGGCTGGAGAAAGATAAAGGAAGTGTTAAAAGGGTTGTTGAAAGTGTTAAAAGTGTTTGAAGTTGAATGAGCAGGGAAAGAGGATGTAAGAATGTTAATATTTCTGCCTCAGCCCAAGGCTGAGATCTTAAAATCATGGGTGTTAGCTCTCTGGGGCAAAGGGATCATGATGGGTCCCAGAGAGTTGTCACGGAAACAGAAAAGCAGTTAACAAAACAACCTGAGTTCATGTGCTAGCTCAGATTGCTAATGGGACCGCTCAGGGAACTGTGGACAATTGCATTCCCCTGACCGACCCCACTGAGACCCTAATCATCCCGAAAATTATGAACGGCTAAGTAAATACTAAAATCTGGACAAATTGGGAATTGAGAATATGCTTCCAACAAGGTCTAAAAGAAACCCCTATGGAATTTTTGGACCAACTCTGAAATGTAATGAAAACAAAACAAAACAAAAACACGATTTGGACCTGGTTTCGGAGGACAAATTGACTAGCCTTTTTCTAGGGTAATCATCGGCCCCTGATTTCAACAGGAATAACGGGGACCTGGGGAATCTACCCTAGCGGATCCTCCACTGGTTATAATGAAGTTAGGGGAGGAACGGAAGTGAAATTTATTGTTAATATGGGGACAACATATTCGGTTCTAAATCAAGCATTAATGCCTTTACAGAATGATTATGTTAGGGTAAAAGGTGCAACCAAAATGGCTTATTTTTGCGAAACTTTGAAGTACAAGTTAGGGAAACAATGGGGCATACACACACATTTTTATATGTGCCTAACTCCCCATGGGCACTCTTAGGTAGAGATTTATTAGAGCAATTAGGAGCAGAAATTGTCTTTGAAAAAGGGAAAATGGAATTAAGGATAGGAGAAGAACAACTAATAAATGTGTTGAGCTTGGCACTAATACAAATGGACCCTAAAAGTGAAACACCTTTAGAGATCACAGATCAAGTATATCCAGGAGTTTGGGCCACCGAAGTCCCTCGAAGAGCTAAAAATGTGACCCCAATAATTATTAAATTAAAGCCAGGAGAGAAACCCATTAAGGTTAAGTAATATCCTTTGAGGATAGAAGATAGGAAAGGAATTAAAGAGATAATTGATAGATTTATACAGTATGGATTATTGATTGAATGCTGATTTAAAGATCAAAGCCAAAATTTCTTTAAGTGGTATATTCTTTATTGCAGCGCTGGATGCACGGGGGATCCTTCCGCCTATCGTGCACGTTCGAAGTGACAAAATATCTCATATTTATACAGCGAAACAATGAATATTCAATTAGCACGCATACATATTCATTACCTAGCCCCGCCTACCCTCGCTTCGTATGCTAATTAGCTTATCAGTCCTTGCGCTTGCGCAAAGCCTTCCAAGAATTGTGGGCCGGGGTCTCCAGGATGTGGGCAGTGGTCTTTGGGAGGAAGGCCGTAGGTCTTCCTCGTAATGCACTTTTCACCTTTGCTTAATCAGTTGTTTTCCAAGCTGTAAAAATGCTGAGTTGGCTTTCAGTTTAACTGAGGGTCGGCAGATAACAGGAAGTCTCAGTTAACAAGACAAGACAATTGACTCAAGTTATCTCAAGTCTCAGCCTGACTAACGGTTAACAGATACTGGGATGTTTTCAAATAACAAGATGCTTAAACATAACAAAAGGTCTACAGATAACAAGATGTCGTTTACTTTGTCCTTGCTAACTTTTAACCACAAGTTTTATTCTATCCTAAAGTGAGTTTATACTATATCATTCCCCCCTTTTCTGGAAAATCTAGTAAATTCTTTTACTTAATACGGAAATTTTCTTCCCAGTCTTTATGATATGTACCCCTCAATACCTGACCATGCACATTTGTCAAGGAGGTTAACATGGACATTCGTTGTAACAATTTCCAATTCCAAACAAGTAATACAAAAGACAATATTAAACTTACACCAACTAATATCAATAAAACAATAATTGGGTGACTCAATGTGTTCAAAATCCCAGTTACAGTTGGCGACCATCCAAAAAGTGTATCCCAACAGTTGTGACTTGTGTCTCGTTTTACTCTTTGCAAAACTCTGCTTATTTCCTTTGTATCATGATGGACAGTAATTAGAGTCTTCTCTACATTTTCCTGAATGCCTTTTAAAATTCTAATCAGGTCTTGGTGTTTAACTAGTTGCTTCACTAGTGTGAGGTTCATCCCAATAGGTGTAGGTAGTAACTTATGATACATTGTGTTGTTAGACTTGATCAGCTGGTGGGATACCACTGGTGCCAAATATAGAAGATCACACCCAACGATTCTAACAAAGTTACAAATACAGAAATTAGAATGATGTTTGCTATGGAGAGTTATGTTCTCCTTATCTGCTTCTACAAAATCACAAGCAGTTCTTAAACACACACACCCTTGACCAACATATACAAGCACATTCTTTTGGCTAGTCTTTGGATGAATTTAAAAGTGACAGACACCTTGCTCCGTGTCAAAACATACATCCTGAGCCTCAATTGTATTGCTTTCACAAATAAATCCTCGTTGTTCCCCGGTAACACATGATTCTAGATTTACAGACTGCCATTTCCCATTCTCCATCCGTATAGTAAGCACGAAGGCAGTAGCCATGTTAATAATGGGCATAAGTACAATTTACCAGGGTCCACGAGGACTGGAACTTCTCAAAATCATTGGCATTGTCCCAGACTGCCTTTTGGACTTCAGCCGGAAAAATGCCTTTACTTCCTTCCCTAATGATCAAGGCAGCCGTTGCCTGCAACCATAACTGTGCTTGCATACAACTAAGAGCTCAGGATACATTATCTCGTGTCCACTCTTCTCCTAATTTTCCCCATTCTGATGGTTTATATAAATAATTACCATTTGTTCGCCAGATGACCATAACTGATAACTTTCCATTAAAGTTCTTATCCTCTGTTGTTACGGCTTTAGTTCAAGGCCACCCACCATTCTCTATTATCACAGAGGCACCTTCTTGAACCACAATTACAACTATAAGCCATAAAAACAAAACAATTCTATGAACAAATTTTCTACCAGCCATATTACCAAATACTCCCGACCATAGTGTCCTCATCTTGATCGACTAAGCTTTAGTTTCAGTTCATTGTCACCTAGTGTTACTTTTCAGGGAGCTCCTGGAGCCTTCTTCACTCGGGAATAGTGGATCCAAGCGGCTTGTTCTCTAATCTTGATAGCAGTG